AAGTGCTGTTGCAATGGGTACTGCAGATCAAGCACTTTCCTTTAGTACACAGATTGTAAATTTTGAGGCTCAATATGATGATATCGACGCGTTTAAGTAAGCAAATTCCAACATTTTACTTCAAAAAAAACTTAATTTTTGTTGTTAGATTGTATTGAAATGTTAACTAACTCATTTTCCTTTTGTTTATGTGATAAAGGTTCTTTGTTATTGTGAATGCTATAGCTTGTGGATATCTTGCACTTTCTATCCCTATATCCATCTTTCACATTATTAGAAAAAGAGCAGGAAAGAGTAGAGTTTTGCTCATCTTTCTAGACGCGGTAATATATTAAATTTCTATACTATATAAACATAAAGTCAGTTCATATTTATACTTATTGCAAGCTTATGAAATTGTGCTGATATCTTTTTGTACTTTGAAACTTTTGAAGATAATGCTGGTTTTTATCACATCTGGAGCATCTGCAGCAGCCGCGATTGTGTATTTAGCACATAATGGGAATACTTCAACTAACTGGTTTTCGATATGTCAACAGTATACAGATTTCTGCCAGCGTTCTGCAGGATCACTCATTGGCTCTTTTGGTGCAATGGCATTGCTGGTTCTCCTTATTATTTTGTCCGCTATCGCGTTATCCAGGGGCTAAAGTGTTAAAAAAACTGGCTATACTTGCAATTGCTAGCCTTTGTGTTTCTGTTTGTGTGTATTGTGTTTTGCATTTTCATTAGTTGCTTTTCATTGTATTTTTCACAACATGAAACTTGTATCAAGATTGTCATTTATCCACATGAATATTCAAAAATGAAAAGATTTTCTGTTTTCTACTATGTTTTGTTCAGGAGTATTCATCTTCAAAATCTTAAGAACAATCCACATTTCAATAAGCAGAAACTGTTATTTACAATATAGATGGTCTCAGAAATGGCCATCAAAATTATATACTCATAGCCTTCAGTTTGCTAATTGAAGAAAGCCGAAGGAACCTTTTCCTTTTTCTTTTCTGAACAAACTAATGAACATGAAATGAGACTATTTCAACTGCTATTGTATATGATTTCAAGATTTCTTCACCTCTTAGTGAAGCAGTCTCATTACATTTGCTAATCCAAGAAGATTTTCGTACCATTCACTCACCTCTGATGTGCAAACTGTTGACACTAGGCAAGTAATGCCACCAATTCATCAATTGATTTCAGCGTCTTCTCATAGAAAACACGAGATTCGTATACCTTTGGAGTTCGAATATAGTAATCAAACTGCAAAAAAAAGGAAAATATATATCAAATACTCATAACATTGAATACCAGTCTTGGAAATCTTGAAAATTTTCTGTGATAAGGAAATAGGACAGTACCTCAGCCATGTTATCAGTCAGCTCATTGGCAGTTTTAACAAAAGCCTCTTTTCGGCTTTCAGGCACCCTGGACAAGGCATTCTTCATATCCTGCTTAAGATAAGCTGATTTAAGACGAATGTAAAACAAGACATACCTCCATGACATGGTTTCCAACATTTCTTTTATGCTATGTAGTCCATCTGCTGTTTGGCGAATTCGTGCTACTGCATCTTCAGGGGATAATCCGGGTTCAAAGAAATGTTCGATTAAAAATGATCGAACGCCCCAATTTTCAGCTAATGCTAATGGGGTGGATTGTAGGCCTAGTCCCAATGAAGTGGCTAGAAATGTCGTGACAAGTTTTCGCCTGCACGAGAATTTGTCTTCATCAGCTGATAAGTTTGCTTGGATTTTGGGTAATGTCCTGAATTGTGTGTGGTGATTTTTGGTTATGGTGATTTTTGGATGTAACAAAGTTGCAGGATTTGTAAAGGTGCTCATGTTTGTGTAACTAAGTTAAGAGTGTTGCTTTGAAATGTAATGTCAATAGCTGAGTTTTGGGTAAGTATTTTTGGTTGGATAATAATTGCTTCCCCTGAATCCAAAATGGACCTTAGCTTTTGGTGACTTGGCATTTCTTTATCCTCTTTATTTGTTTTTGAAGTGTGTCCTTTTCCTCCAACAGACTTGTGTTGGGTCAAATTCTCAAGAGGCTTCTGTTCTAGTTATGTACAGGCTAGTAGCTAATAATCGGCCCAATTTGGAGTTGTTAATTTTGGGCTGGCCTGTTTACTTTGAAACCAACCAAGAACACTAGCCTCATTTTGTAGCCTAGTAACTAATGGCCTACAAACATGTATACTTCTTGAAAAGAATTAACGTAGATATATAATATATATAATTCATGTATAATCAGTGTATAATATATATGTATACTGATTAGAAAAAAGTAAACAATAAATCCAGACGGCTATTTGTATAAAGATCGCTTAATGAAAGATATATGCTGGACTTAGAATATTGTTAGAGGTATATTTGGTTTACAGTCTAGTATGCGAGGATTCTAATCAAGAAACTTTTATGAGATGAATCATATTGTGCGAAATGTTATGCGATGAATAATAATGCAAGAATTGCTATGTGATGAATAATAATAATTCACGGATTAATGTAGGGATTGCCTAATTTGTGCCACTTTTATCTTTAGATACTCTCGTCCATATATTCCTAATACATGTAGACGTATCCCACATTCTATTGCTGTATTGCACATAAAATAATACATAATTTCAGTCTAAAATATCTTAAATTCTTGGAATTGTGAACACAAAGCTAACTAGCTATCTTTCATTGTTTCATCTCCGGGCGAAACCTCCAATTAGGAATATTTGGAATACTTCACCCTAAACCAAACCAAGAACTATCATTTTCCTGCAGAAAGAGAGAAAGCTAACTTAATTAGGCAGAGAAAATAGGTTCTTGATTGTGCAACTGACGCCCAAAAAAATCTTATGTCTTCTCCCACATACTTGGAGAGTTGAACTAATGATTAGACCAACTGCTTTATAGTAACACCTTTACAGCCATTCAGTGGGGCTATTCAAAGAACTTATAGAAAATGACAAATGAGAAATAAATTGATAATGATGCGAAACTTATCAAGAAAATTAAGGCAAAATACATAGTTAGTTGCAGACTTGCATCATGAACTTGTCTGAAAAATTCAGTTGCACACTAAAATTTTACGGACGTTCAATTAAGTACCCTAAATACGTTTGGAGTGAATTATTTTTCCTACTCCATGCATGGCTCCAGACCACTTCAAAACTTAGGGGTGTGAGGCATGTACGATCTAGTGAAGTCACGTCTTTAATACTATAAGTTTTTACGTAAAATATTTTGATAGTCAAATAATATAAATATTATGATATATTTAAGAGTATAGCGTAAAATTTAAAAAAATTAATTATAAATAAATATGATGACATGTATAAGATTATAACGTGTGGAATGTTAGCTGGAAGAGCAATGCGAGTATATGTCGTGAACGGCATTCAGAATGAAACTTGTTGACTGAGATAACTAAATGAATATTTGACCTGTGTATCTTGTTGTAGTTCACAAACTGTAATTTGACAGCTGATCAATACTTTTCCATTCTTCATCTTTTTTCAACACGTGGATGAACATCTCAGGCAAATCAACAAAAGATAGCAGTAATTCCCATGTTGTTGTGTTCATTAAGTTACCAGAAATGGAATGGTTTACTTGGGGTTTCCTTTCCCCTTTTGTATATTTGGCATGCACAGGTGAATATTACTATATATATGCGCGGTTGGTGAAAATAATCTTTACATTATCAATATAATTTAACTAATTATTACATCAAGCTATTTTCTATGTTTAGATTATTATATAAAGTCTGTCGTGGTAGATCAACTTAATTAATATGATTGTATCTATAATTATGAACGTTGAGTCTAGTTATGCAGGATTATAATGCATATACTCTTTAAGTTTTTATGCAGTGGAAAATAATGCATATGAAATGTTATGTGTTGATAATTAATAATGCAGAAGTTGCTATGTGATGTCTAATCATACATAAATAGATAATGTAGGGATTGCCTAATATTGGGCCATGCATTTCATTTTTAGCTTTAGATACTCTTATCTACGTATATTACTAATTCACGTATAAATTAATATATGGATTCACACAAGTTATGCCAAAATTAATGATACTAAAAAAAATATATGGATTCACACAAGTTATACCAAAATTAATAATACTAACTTGGTAAGTCTATAGAGTTGGCGAAGATCCTCCAGAAGTAGAGGGTCAATATAGCGTGTGTTCAGGAGACAAGGTGGGTAGGGTCGAGGGCGAGGGACGCAGACGGGTATAAACTTTGGTACTCA